ACGGCTTTAGGTCATTTGGTTAAGGTGCGCTGACTCTGAGCTTAAAATTTGGCAGGACACGAATTTGATTCCAGGTACTTCCAGTCTCAAAAAAAAAGTTATTTACGAATAATTAAATACAAGAATTATTTCCAAGATCACTTATGATGGGTATATGATGGCAATACTCGAAATAGTAATAGCTGTATGATCAGACGAAAATTCAATTAATTAAAATAATATAAAATAAATTTCTGTTGTAGTTCATTACTGTTCGAAAAACCTAATTATTAATAAATGAAGAAATACTGTTTACTTTCTCAATGCAAATAAGTTGTAATAATAATCGTAATTTTTTCTTTCAGTGTAGCAAAAAAATACTCGAATGAAAACATGACAAATGGAATGCATTCTTTGATATTTAAGTTGAAAACCTAATTCACTTAGTAAACATTAAACAATTTTCACAATTTTTGGTTCAGTTATCTTTATCAACATTCCCGATACATTATAGATGCAACGCCTATGAGACAACTTCGAATGTGTTATCATTTATAAGTAAGAATCAGATAACAGCCATACAATCTATGCATCATTTTTGACTGCAAAGCACAAGAGTTATAATAAATATAAATATCGTAATAGGTATATACTCGTGATTATTATTTATACTCAGTCATATCTAGTAAAATAATATTCCTATATGAATACACAGCATATAGAAAACAAATAAATTTCCAACTGCAATTTCCAATTTGTAAACCATTATTTCGTCCACAATTTATGTAAATTTTTGGAAAGCAGCAATATAAAATATTGACCATAAGCAAAAACAAATAAACATAGATACATTTGAATAGCGCCAGCACAGACTGTATAAATGCAACTCTTCCTAAACTGTACACTAATCGAAGATTGGAGCATAGCAAGTAACCACATCAGTGGCAATAGCTATCAATTCTATAAAGCCAAAAATATGAGATATTTATTTAAAGAAAAAGTGCGACACATATCTATTAGTAAAGAAATACAGAAATAAAATAAATAGAAAAGTAAAATAAAAACACATTTATAAAGTTACTTCTGTTACATTTGTTTTACAAATAAGTTTACACTTAGAACCAAGTAACATTGTTATCATGGTGTAAGCAATTATTAAAACCAAAAGTTCTAATTTACATAATTTAACATAATTTACCAAATGATCATTACAGCACTATATCTTTAAAGAATAAGGTATTCTTATAGAAGATATCTACTCAAGCAGATAGGAAAGTATAATAAGTAGGAGCTATGTGAATAAAGGACTATGTATTTTACTTTATCCTAATCCAGTGCTGAAAACTAGCAAAATAATTTGGAGCTTATACTCCAATCTTAAAAAAAACACATACTCTCACTGGATCTTTTCATAAATATACGCTCCTCAGTTAATACTCTATTTTTTGAAATGAATCTGAGAAATCATGTTTATTTCGTACTCCTGAATGATACATTGCTATCGAAGGTTTTATTATAAATGCTACTACATATTATCTATTATCTGTTATGTATCGTCTTTTTCCATTTTTTGAAATGAACCTGAAAAATCATGTTTATTTCGTACTCTTGAATGATACATTGCTATCGAAGGTTTTATTATAAATGCTACTACATATTATCTATTATCTGTTATGTATCCTCTTTTTCCATTTTTTGAAATGAACCTGAGAAATCATGTTTATTTCGTACTCCTGAATGATATATTGCTATCGAAGGTTTTATTATAAATGCTACTACATATTATCTATTATCTGTTATGTATCCTCTTTTTCCATTTTTTGAAATGAACCTGAGAAATCATGTTTATTTAGTACTCTTGAATGATATATTGCTATCGAAGGTTTTATTATAAATGCTACTACATATTATCTATTATCTATTATCTATTATGTATCCTCTTTTTCCATTTTTTGAAATTAACCTGAGAAATCATGTTTATTTCGTACTCCTGAATGATACATTGCTATCGAAGGTTTTATTATAAATGCTACTATATATTATCTATTATCTGTTATGTATCCTCTTTTTCCATTTTTTGAAATGAACCTGAGAAATCATGTTTATTTCGTACTCTTGAATGATATATTGCTATCGAAGGTTTTATTATAAATGCTACTACATATTATCTATTATCTGTTATGTATCCTCTTTTTCCATTTTTTGAAATGAACCTGAGAAATCATGTTTATTTCGTACTCTTGAATGATATATTGCTATCGAAGGTTTTATTATAAATGCTACTACATATTATCTATTATCTGTTATGTATCCTCTGAAAGTGGATACATATTTTTATAGCTTAAAAAAGCATTAACATAAACGAACTGAATGTTACAATCCTCATTCTTTCTCCATCCAGCTTTGGTTAACACTATATTCCCCCATCCCAATATGCTACAAAACCCACGAAGTATATTGTGTTCTTTTTGGTACTGATAGTTGTTTTTAACTTGACGATTTACATGCATAAATTAATTAGCTAACATTCAACTTTGCCCTGTTATTGGTAGTGCAAACTTTAACAGCTGCAACACGTACTCATCCTTAGAAAATAGTTAATGACAGGACAATAGTAGGTACGATGGCGGTGGCGGTGGCGGTAGCGGTAGCGGTAACACGGTACTCATTTAAAGCACTTGTTATTTATTTACAAAAAATGTTTTCATGTTTAACTAAATTATTAATTAGTTCACCAAAAATGTTGTTGAAAACTGCTCAACACTGTTAATTTTTGTCATTTTTGACAGATTATGTGAGCTTAAAAAGCGTTTCGTCGGTTGTTGATGACTGTTCAATCTGCTTGAATCTGCTCTCCTTGCACAAATATCACACGTAAACGTGTTCCCTAAAATGCTTTGATGTTCCTTAATTTACTTTAATAATTTATGTGGATGGTTTGCTGACACTAAATCGTGCAGAATTTGGTTATTTGGTTATATTAACAGAAAAGTAAACCTTTTCCACTACATCAGAGAAAATAATTGAGTGTTATAAAAAGAAAGAACTTTCGAGGGAAGATTAGAGTTTAATTCCACCGTATACCATACTCTTATCAAAAATAACTATACAACTTTTTTCAGTATTACCTTCTAGCATAAAAATATATTAGGAGAATCAAAAATATTAGCATCAAAATATTGAGAAAAAATTAATATTTGAATTAACTGAACCAGGGGAACTAACTTTATAGCTGGTCAAATTGTAAAAGACAAAATTTACAAACTAAATTAGCTCTTATATAGCATCATTTAAGCAAAAGCAAAATAGTAAGAAAAATATGAAACCCACTTAATATGTAGAGCTCAGTTTTATTTAACTAGTTTACTACTATAATAAAATTGTTAATACGACATAAGCTATTGTGTTCAATAGAGAAATATTTCGAACAGTATTAAATTATAACATTAAAATTTTTTATTAATTAATTGAATTGTTAGCAGTTTCGAGTATTGCCAAATACCCATCATCAGTAGTCATGGAGTTATTTCTTATATTTAATTATCTATAAATAATTTTTAGAGACTACAAGTACCAAAGGTTCAACTCGTGCCCTGCCAATTTTGATTATTTTATTGAATACTTTTTAGTTTAGCCAAAATATAGTTATAAACAAATAAAAAGAACTTTGCATTGGTTTTTTAATTATTTACAATACCCAAAATAATTCAATATAAACATCTATAGATTTATTATTGACGTACGGAAACAAGAAGTCATTTAGTGTCAAATCAGGACTGTTCGGTAGATGACCCATCAATTCGATTTTTTTAATGTTCAAATAGTCGGTTGATATACGAGATGTGTGAGTACTAGCATTTTCTTGGTGGAGATGGAGAATGATCCGACGGCTTTTGTTTGTTTTCCGTCACTGGAAGTCACTGAAGAATTTCGATAAACAAATAATTGTACTCGTAACCATTCGAAATTGGTCGTTTTACGTTACTCTAATGGTATAGTTGCCACATGACCAGTTTTCCCCAAAAAACAAACATTTGTTTCGAAGTTCTTCGAGTGCGAACAAGTTTTGTTGGATTTGGTACACTTTAAAACACCAATACAGTCGACTGCAGTTTAAGTTTTGGCTCATACGCATATATTCATGATTCATTATCTGTTACAATCTCATATACCAGTACATACTCTGAAACTAAGTTGATCGGTGCACTCTTATCTTTATAATCCATGTCGAAAGCGTTAATTCCAAATCACTGTATATAACAAAAATAACGCTATTTTGAGAAAAACCTAAGGTAGGTTATGACCACAATCAGTGTTATCAAGGCTCAAAATATAAATAGTGTCCCTCGTATGTTATATAACGAAGAGAATCCGTATATTGATAAGAATATCAACATATTATATGATAGATGTACAATAGTTAAACGTGTAGATTCTATAATTATGAGCACTGTTAAGCTTAACAAACCTAACATATTTTAGCTCGCTTGTAATCACGCTTATGGAGCAAATAAATATTGTAAATATTTACGTTTATAAGTTCAATAACTTCACATATTGTATTTATGCTTATGCAGCAATATGTGAAATTTTAATTATTATTTTAGTCACCAATAATTGTAATTATTATTATGCTTAGTAAGTAATTTTATACTATATAAGGAAACAATATTAATAATAAAGATTGAAAGCGAAAACAATCGTCTTTACTTCACAATCAAAAATTGGTTATTGGTAGATGTGCCTTTTAACCACTGTAGAAACAAAATAAAAATTATTTACTTACTTGGCTAGCGGTTTATGTGCCTGCAAGCCTTTCATCTTAACTACCTGATTATTGGTTTATGTGCCTAATAGTCAGTGTAACAAAGTAAGCAAATACAGACATTGATACCACCTCAGATTATGTGGTATACATTGGTGACCCCGACGTGATTGGCAAGAGCAACTCAGTGTGAGCCAGCAGCGTTTACAAAAAACCTTCATTGAAAACAACTTGTTTCAACGGAAATACAATAACCATGGATCCAAAATCAATATCCACTTTAACTGACCAGCAGGATTCAATTGGTTCAGAGATCGACAGAATCATTCGCAACTTCAAGAAGGACTCACCCAGCAGGAAAACACGTCAATATCTCGAAGATCGTAAAACAACTTTAGAACAGTTATTAGCTGACTTCAAGGCTAATGATGAGCAACTACAACAAGCCGATGTACTAGCAAGAACATCGGACTATTTCACACAAGATTACGGCATGGTAATCATAAATTTGGGTAACAAATATATCACCACAATAACTCAAGAGCTGGAAGCATTACTCATTAAGGCTCAACCATCAACAATAAAGGGGTTGGACCTTCAGATAAATAATGATGTTGAAGCTCCTGAAATAGTATTACCTACTGGTGGTCAAGAGAATGAAATTAATCAGGCATTAGTCAACAGACGAAATGCAGTGTGTAAATCAATCAATCGTCTCATCCACAATGTGAGACAAGATAACCAGCAACAGGTACCACAATATTTTGCAGTAAAATTAGCTACGCTTACCAAGTTATGGGATCAGGCTGAAGGTTTAAATTTTACTATTCAGGAACGGCAAGACAACCCTCCTGATTGCAATCATTATCTAGCACTTGAACAATTGGTGCAAGATACAATGGTGGAATGGACTAGTAAGTCGACCAAGATTGAGACATCAATTAGGTCAACTTATCAATCATCGGCTACTTTGCCAACAATATCTCTTCCAAAGTTCAGTGGAGATTATTTGAGTTGGCGACAATTCAGTGACCTGTTTGTACAACTGATACACAATCAAAGAATATCAGACTCACAGAAACTCTGGTATTTGAAAACCAATATTCAAGGCGAAGCTGAAGCACTCATCAAGCATTTGCAAATATCAGATGCAAATTATGAGACGGCATGGCAATTACTACAAAGTAGATATGAGAATAAAAGAGTTCTAGTATCAGCAGTTTTGCAACGTTTGACAGCTCAAAACTCTTTATATGACCATCCAACAGTCCAAGCCATTAAAAATATGCATGACACAACAAAGGAAAGTCTATGTGAACTTCATAATTTAAATATTGAAACATCAACTTGGGATCCAATTTTAGTTCACATACTATTAAAAAAATTGGATAAAGGTACACATTGCAGTTTTGAACAAACTCTTACTAACCCAAAGGAGATGCCCACAATAAAACAATTCTTAGAATTTTTAGAATTGAGATTTCAGTCACTTGAGGCTATAGGTCTACGAGACAATGCAGTATATAAACCCAACAAAAGGATAGCCGTAACTATGGTTTGTTCAGATCTATGTAAAGTTTGTAATACAGATAAACATCCGATCTACTATTGCAAAAGGTTCATTGAAATGACTCCTCCTGAACGATTAAATTGGATTCAACGACAAAAACTATGTGTGAATTGTTTCAAATCCGATCATAAAGCAAAGGTTTGTGAAGCTGGATCATGTAAAAAATGTGCCAAGAAGCATAACACTTTGCTCCATTTAGAGCAACAGTCACCTAAACCTTCAAGGGCACCAGCAACAAACACAAAGTCAACCACAACATTGATCAACGCTAATGAATCGCCATCCATACCAGCAACAACTAATGCAAAGTGTACTCGTAATTACGTTCTGCTAGCCACTGCAAAGGTGCGCATTATTGCAAACAATGGACGAACGTGTGATGTTCGTGCCATACTCGACTCAGGGTCTCAAGTTAACCTAGTAACCCAAAGAGTAATCAACAAGTTATCTTTAATTACCACAAATTCAAATCTATCGATCGAAGGTATTGGCCGTCAATTCGGGAACTCAAAATCTCGCGTAAATGTTGAACTGCAGGCTACTAATGGAAGCTTCAGGACGAGACTAGAGGCATTTGTACTGCCACAAATAATATCAGCACAACCGTCACGAGACCTAGATATCTCGGATTGGCAGATCCCACAGAATGTAGAATTAGCAGACCCCAGCTTTAACAGATCTGGAAGAATTGACATGCTGATTGGTGCTGAATTCTATCATACTCTACTTCAACCAGAACAATTGACAATAGGAAAGAATTCGCCACTGTTACAAAATTCGGTTCTAGGTTGGTTGGTGGTTGGTAAGACTAAAACTACAACAGATATTAAACCAACATGCGCTATTACTACAGGAGAGGTTGGTGAAATGTCAGAAATGATAGAACGATTTTGGAAGTTAGATAACATTGAGACTGCAGAAAGGGTTTTGACTGTATCTGAGAAATGGTGTGAAAATCACTTTACTAATCATGTAAAGACAAATCGCGATGGTCGTTTCATTGTACGCTTACCTTTTCGCGATGATCCCACAACACTTGGTAGATCGCGTGAGATAGCATTCAATCGATTTTGTTCTCTGGAAAGGAAGTTACAAAAGGACCCAAATTTATACAAGGAATACATAAAATTCATGGATGACTACGAGTCATTAGGTCACATGGAAAAAGTTTGCCCAAAGGATGTCAAAGGATCACAATATTTCATTCCTCATCATTGTGTCTTGAAACCTGACAGCACTACAACCAAATTGAGAGTTGTCTTTGATGCATCAGCAAAAACATCAAGCGGTTTAGCACTAAACGATATTTTGCACAAAGGTCCAACAGTGCAAAGTGATCTTTTTTCAATACTGTTGCGTTTTAGAATACACCGGTTTGTATTTACGGCCGATATTGAGAAAATGTACCGGCAAATTCAAGTACATGATGAAGATACAGCACAGCAGCTGATAATCTGGAGAAAAAGTGCTGATGATATTATACAATATTACCGACTGAAAACGGTTACATATGGAACAAAGTCAGCCCCTTATCTTGCAACAAAATGTCTTCAACACCTTGCGAAACATAATATGACCAACTATCCGCTTGGAGCACCTGCATTACTTAATGATTTTTATGTAGATGACTGTTTATGCGGAACTAACAGCATCATTACCGCCTTAGACACTCAACAACAACTTACGGAACTGCTCAGTAAATCAGGATTTAAGCTGAGAAAATGGTGCTCAAATAATACACGACTCCTACAAAACATTCCGATAGAAGACCAAGAAATCAACCTTGATTTAGATGACTCAGCCATAAAGCCAACAAAAACATTAGGCATTATTTGGCTCCCGAAATCAGACGAATTTTGCGGTAAGGCAGAGATGTCATCAGAGCAACCCATCACGAAGCGGATTGTGGCATCGGACTTAGCTCGAATTTTTGATCCTTTGGGAATTTTTGGCCCCATTACTGTAACAGCTAAAATATTCATGCAGGAATTGTGGCAACAAAACTATTCCTGGGATGCGGAACTGTTACCTCAGGCTCAGCTAGAATGGAAGCGGTTTAGAACTGACTTACAAACATTAAATACTGTGAAAGTACCCAGACATATTTTTAATTCGAAGGTTCCCTGTTCGATTCAATTACACGTGTTTACGGATGCATCAGAGAAGGCATATGGAGCAGCTATGTACGTGCGAGCAATATATAGTGATAAGACAATAACATCGAGACTATTGTGCGCCAAATCTAGAATAGCACCATTAAAGAAACAGACACTTCCACGACTAGAACTCTGCGCAGCATTGCTGGGAGTCGAATTAGCAGAAAGAGTTAAACAAGATTTAAAGTATCAAAACGTGCCAACCTACTTTTGGTCCGATTCCAAAATTGTTTTGTCATGGATAATATCTTCATCTGCCTCATTGCACACATTCGTAGCAAATCGTATTAGCAAAATTCAAGAGATGTCACATGCTGATCAATGGCATCATGTGGTATCAAAGGATAATCCTGCTGACATCATTTCCAGAGGAATAAAGGTTAAAATGTTCAATTATTCACATATATGGTTTTTTGGTCCACTCTTTCTTCATGGAAGCAACGAATTTTGGCAACAGCCAAACCCAAAGGCATTTAACATCTCAACTGATATCGAAAGACGACAAGGACATACAGTTAACATTATCATTCAAACGACTGGTTCTGATCACATGATAAATCAAATTGATCATCGAAACTGATTTAGATACCTTCAAAGAACAATTGCTTATGTTCGCCGTGTATTTCATCGCACACAATCACCAACAAGAACACTTCTCCAAAAGAATTACGAGATGCATTAGTCTTCATAATTAAAACTATTCAGGGCTCAGAATTTGCAAAAGAAATCTCTGATTTAAAACAATGTAAAGCAGTCAACAGTTCGAGTCAACTAAATACTTTAGCACCGTTCATTGACGAACAAGGTGTACTTCGTGTTGGAGGAAGGCTTGAAGCATCAACATTGCCATATGATGCTAAACACCCAATGGTAATTCCTTACAATCACTCAATAGTGAAATTGATGTTCAAAATGAAACATGA